ATCGGACTGACGACACTGGAGGACAGAAGGGTCAGGGGAGACATGATAACGACATACAAGATACTGCGGGAAATAGACAAGGTGGACAGAGATAGGATGTTCCAGAGAGGGGACACAGGGACAAGGGGTCACAACTGGAAGCTGAAGACTCAGACGAGTCACAGGGACGTTAGGAAGTATTTCTTCAGTCATAGAGTTGTCAGCAAGTGGAATAGCCTAGCAAGTGAAGTAGTGGAGGCAGGAACCATACATAGTTTTAAGAAGAGGTATGACAAAGCTCAGGAAGCAGAGAGAGAGAGGATCCAGTAGCGATCAGTGAAGAGGCGGGGCCAGGAGCTGAGTCTCGACCCCTGCAACCACAATTAGGTGAATTAGGTGAGTACACACACACACACACACCACACACACACACACACACACACACACACACACACACACACATATGTGAACGACATGACGGAAGGGTTAGACTCAGAAGTGTCCCTGTTTGCAGATGATGTGAAGTTAATGAGGAGAATTAAATCTGATGAGGACCAGGCAGGACTTCAAAGAGACCTGGACAGACTGGACACCTGGTCCAGCAAATGGCTTCTCGAATTTAATCCTGCCAAATGCAAAGTCATGAAGATAGGGGAAGGGCACAGAAGACCACAGACAGAGTATAGGCTAGGTGGCCAAAGACTGCAAACCTCACTCAAGGAGAAAGATCTTGGGGTGAGTATAACACCGAGCATGTCTCCGGAAGCACACATCAATCAGATAACTGCTGCAGCATATGGGCGCCTGGCAAACCTGAGAACAGCATTCCGACACCTTAGTAAGGAATCATTCAAGACACTGTACACCGTGTATGTCAGGCCCATACTGGAGTATGCAGCACCTGTTTGGAACCCGCACTTGATAAAGCACGTCAAGAAACTAGAGAAAGTACAAAGGTTTGCAACAAGGTTAGTTCCAGAGCTAAGGGGAATGTCCTATGAAGAAAGATTAAGGGAAATCGGCCTGACGACACTGGAGGACAGGAGGGTCAGGGGAGACATGATAACGACATATAAAATACTGCGTGGAATAGACAAGGTGGACAAGGACAGGATGTTCCAGGGAGGGGACACAGAAACAAGAGGCCACAATTGGAAGTTGAAGACACAAATGAGTCAGAGAGATAGTAGGAAGTATTTCTTCAGTCAGAGAGTTGTAAGGCAGTGGAATAGCCTAGAAAATGACGTAGTGGAGGCAGGAACCATACACAGTTTTAAGACGAGGTTTGATAAAGCTCATGGAGCGGGGAGAGAGAGGGTCTAGTAGCAACCGGTGAAGAGGCGGGGCCAGGAGCTAGGACTCGACCCCTGCAACCACAAATAGGTGAGTACAAATAGGTGAGTACACACACACACACACACACTCAGGTGAGTACACAGTCATCTGTGTGTGTGTTTCTGTATGTGTATATATTTATATATTTACATCACTATGTAGAAGCAGGTGTGGGAGGTGGCAGGTGTGAGAGGCGTCAGGTGTGTGGGTCAGGCAAGTTAATTTCTTAATATTTCACACTTGCTTAATATTATTTTAGTTTTATCAAACATGTTAGGGAGCATCAAGCTGGCCAGTACTCCTGACGTGCTAAAACTACTATATTTCTCCACAGTAAGATAGGCTTGATGAAGTGGTCTTCCTGATGGGCGAAACGTCACTTCCAGGAATGTGTCATCGACACCATGCCTAACCCTTCTAGGGTAGGGTAGGTGCCTGAGCCCGAGCCTTTAGCTCATAAGACTGTCATTCCCATTTGCCCCCTTGGGGCGGGGATGGCAGACCAGAGAGGCCTAGCTTGTGGCTAGGCCTGGGGACAGTTGGTCCCAAAGATGAGGAGGTACTTGTGCCTCCTCCCATGGGAGACTTAGGTCTCAGACACTCCCTAAAGAGGGAGCCAATGCCGGGCCACCACTTGGAAAAGGCCCGGGCCGGGAGAATACCGGCTAATCTTTAACTAACTCCAGGAATGTCCTAATACGGTATCGTATGTCTCACTTCCATACTTCTCGGTGTTCTTTAACATCTACCACATGTGTGCATGTGTGTGTGTGTGTGTGTGTGTGTGTGTGTGTGTGTGTGTGTGTGTGTGTGTGTGTGTGTGTGTGTGTGTGTGTGTGTGTGTGTGTGTGTGTGTGTGTGTGTGTGTGTGTGTGTGACTCAACAATCAATATTTGCACCAATAACTTATTACAGTTGTGACCGGGTGTGGAAGTGTGAATTGCTCATTACTCTAAAATTTGTTCATGATTGTAGCCATGTATAAACGTAAGTAACCATTCTTACAGAATTCATTACCTTTGTAACTTGTGAGTTCATTACCTCTGTACCTAGTTCAGCTATCAAAACTTTGGGGCCCAGTCCCTGGACCCATTATGTACCTCTGTAATCTGTAAATACCTTTGTAACTTGTCATGATTGTGACTAGACCTACCTGGAGTTCATTACCTTTGTAAATTGTGAGTTCATTACCTTTGTAAATTGTGAATTCATTACCTCTGTAACTTGAACATCAAAATGGTATACAATACCGACAGGTTGTTAGGTAAGACACATATGCAACAGTTAGACAACTTTATTCCGAAACGTTTCGCCTACACAGTAGGCTTCTTCAGTCGAATACAGAAAGTAGGCAGGAACAGTAGAGATGTGAAGACGATGTAATCAGTCCATCACCCTTAAAGTCGTAGAATTTGAGGTTGTCAGTCCCTCGGCCTGGAGAAGTTCAGTTCCTGACTATGGAACTGAACTTCTCCAGGCCGAGGGACTGACAACCTCAAATTCTACGACTTTAAGGGTGATGGACTGATTACATCGTCTTCACATCTCTACTGTTCCTGCCTACTTTCTGTATTCGACTGAAGAAGCCTACTGTGTAGGCGAAACGTTTCGGAATAAAGTTGTCTAACTGTTGCATATGTGTCTTACCTAACAACCTCTGTAACTTGCTCAGCTATCAAAACTTTGAGGCCCAGTCCCTGGACCCATTATGTACCTCTGTAATCTTTTGACTACCGCCCACAGGATGGGTATGGGGTGCATAATAAACATATTAAACTAACTAACTAACTTTAACATCTGCAACATCGTGTTGCAAACAGCGATCAACGAAGATTCAAGGCAACATCTCTCACGTAGTGAAAAAATAGGAAATAAATTGAACCACCTAGCCTAGTCCAACCTACTCAATATATGGAAGAACGTACACAAGGGCATATATTACAACATCTCTACTGGAAACGTTTTGATCCTATTACCTTTGTCACTCAGATCATTCAGTGTCCATTGCTTATGTAAGGACCGAAAAGTGTCTGATAAAGATGTCAAGTGTATATATGCTCTTGTGTTGGCTCATCCAAATTGTTGATATCGTTATATCCAGCCACGTATCACTAACAATGGTACATAAAATAGGTAAAAAAGGAAGACTACCAAAGTCAGATATCGTTTTCAAAATATTTCGCGTATACAATAGGCTTCGTCAGTTAAATATCGAGGTGACAGAATAAGGAGACGTCTGCAGTAGGAGAGGCAAAGATGAAGTACAAACATACATAAATACATACATATATGAATAATTAAAGTGTAATAAACACTTGTCGGTGCTTAATAATAACCTACATAAAGACAGAATCGTGGGAGGTTAACTGATCTGTATATTTCGACCCCCTTTTGGGACCCTCTTCTGCTGAAGAGGATCCCAAGGAGGGGGGTCGAAATATACAGATCAATCCAACAGGATCCTGTGTTTCTGTCTCCATGTTACTGAGCACATATTTACATACATACATACACAATACTGTCGTTTATTGCACCTCACTACACTTCCTCTACATCCTTGGGTACTTATGCTTCCAGAAGTTTTGAGGTCGTCATTCCCTAATCCTTGACAAGTGTTCATCTCCATAAAATGTAATCAGATGCAAAACTATGACATTTTTTGCAATTTCTTCACCTGTCACAATTTTCTTGTCGTGCTCTGTCTATTGTCGTTACTTGCAAATTTATGCTACTCATCAACAACTCAGTTATCAGCAACGTGTCGTCCAGTCAAGCATGCAATATTACTTATATTACCACTTTATTACACTTTCGCACACACACGAGGGTCATGAATGCTGCATATTACTTTTTCACCACTACACAAGAATACTTTATTCCCTTAAGTAGATATTTAAGTAAACTCAACATACGTTAAGAGAAATATACCTCTCAGTGTGTGTATATATATTCTGTTAACTTAGGTAAGGCAGGAAACAGGACAAGTGTTTCCTGATGCGGGTCTTAGTCATATGATGACCCACAGCTGGAGCTTTTGGTCATATGACCGAGGCCTTCCTCTGGCTCACCCCTCCACCCCTTTAACAAATGCAGTTATGATTATAACCATTAGAAATATTACTCTTGTGCACATCTCTGCTCCCTTGGGGATCTTAGAACACATTACGTTTCACATCATCATACAGTCACGCAATTTTTTATAAAATCAATAAATTTTACCAAGAAACTACTAATTTGAGAGTACGTTTTATTTGTCTTTATATTATAAACTGTTATATATTATATACGAAATTTTAGTCCACCATTAAGAGAAATAAAATTTGTTTACAGAGTGCGTGAACTCGATGTGTTGACCAAGGTGTGAGGAAGAGTCACTTTCACTCAGGAAAGAGTATTAAAAATACCTCTATCCTGGAAGCAGGGTGGAGTTAAGACATGGGCTCTATGGGCTACAGCCCAGGGGCCTCCGCCAGCCGGAGGGCTTCCAGGGGCTGCAGCCCAGGGGCCTCCGCCAGCCGGAGAGCCTCCACAGATTAAGTGAAAAGTGTTCACAGTTACTCATGTAAGTTTATAATTATAGTATGTTATTACATCAACTGTTAACAGTACATCACATGTCCCAAAAAACATAGAGACTTTATTGTTATGGATCATACAAGATATCCCGAAAACAAACAGGGACTCACTTGTTATAGAGGATTATATCAGGCAGCCAGACCCTCTGGAAGGGGATCCGGATGACGTGGATGCCACCGAAGTCAGAGTTATTCCAGGAGAGGTGAACATCAGTCCAAATCTGCGTCAGCCAGCAGTTGGTTGTCAGAATCTGGTTCCTCTCGTCCTGATGGAAGACACAAACACATACACACACAAACACAAACATAAATGCACACACACACACACACACATATTAAGCTGGCGTTGAATGCTGTATAAATAATGGCATCTGAATTGTGACCAAGGATTCCATAATTTAGATTAATTATAGAAGATTATGGTAATTTCGGAAAATTTAAATAAGAGAGGGGGAGGGAGCTTTAGTTTTATTTGCATATCCACACACTCCCGGTAAAGCAGCTATTGAATGAATGATGGTTACTGTAGTTTCCCTATTTGGGGGGACAAGGGTCACCCTACCTAGGTGGAAGAGGCTGGTGTGTCACATAATAGACAAACTCCGGAAGGTGATATGCTTCAATCAATGTTAATCAGTTAAACAGCCAGACCGCCACACAAGACGAACAGTAAAACACACAGGGCAGACAGTGACACACACACACAAGACAGACAGTGATCCGCATATGACAGTGACACACAGGAAAGGCAGTACTCACCACGTCAATAATACTCCTGAGGGAGACGCCGAAGATAACAGTGAGAGCCTGGGAGGAGTTTGTAGTTGGTCTGACAGAAGCGTCGTAGTTGGCCAGCAAATACCTTGTCAGACGGTATTCTTGCTCATCCCCTCCCACCACTGTCAAGCACACGTCACAACACGTCAACAAGAGTCAGGATGCCTCAGTACACAGAAAGGTGATGGTTTAATGGAGGTACAAGTGCCCAAAGATTGTAAGAAGAGTGTACTGGCATGGATTGAACAACAGTACCGGGTGTGTATGCATACATGCATGTATGTATGTATGTATGTATGTAAGGTTACAATAGCCAGCTGGTTCTGAAATAATTCACAAACCAAAATTCTGTGAGGTAACTAAATAACAAAAAAGGCACAATACCGTGACTGGAACGATACACAAATAACCCGCACATAAAAGAGAGAAGCTTACGACGACGTTTCGGTCCGACTTGGACCATTTACTGGTTAGTGTGACTTTGTCAATGGTCCAAGTCGGACCGAAACGTCGTCGTAAGCTTCTCTCTTTTATGTGCGGGTTATTTGTGTATTGTGTATTCTGTGAGGTTTAAAGTTTGTTATGCAAATCGTGTGTTAGTTGTGAATTAGTTGAGCAAAATAGAATGAGAAAGTTTGCAGGGGAAAGGAATCGTCGATGTTAGGTTTAAAATACTACTTACGAATAAATGTTTTCAATTGCAGAGCTTAATGCAAACAACGTATGTATACAACAATGTATAGAATTTATGTATGTGGTTGATGCATAATTAAACCAGTACGTACATATGATACATATCAAACCTATTTTTAAAGGTACTCGTTGTTGTGGTGACGTAACCTGCCAGAACCTCCACTCACCCACAACTCTACTGCCACACCAGTGTTCTACTCAATGTTGTGGTGACGTAACCTGCCAGAACCTCCACTCATCCACAACTCTACTGCCACACCAGTGTTCTACTCAATGTTGTGGTGACGTAACCTGACAGAACCTCCACTCACCCACAACTGTACTGCCACACCAGTGTTCTACTCAATGTTGTGGTGACGTAAACCTGACAAAAACCTCCACTCACCCACAAAACTCTACTGCCACACCAGTGCTCTACCAATGTTGTGGTGACGTAACCTGCCAGAACCTCCCCCTCATCACAACTCTACTGCCACACCGTGTTCTACTCAATGTTGTGGTGACGTAACCTGCCAGAACCTCCACTCATCCACAACTCTACTGCCACACCAGTGTTCTACTCAATGTTGTGGTGACGTAACCTGACAGAACCTCCACTCACCCAAACTGTATTTGCCACACCAGTGTTCTACTCAATGTTTGGTGACGTAACCTAACAGAACCTCCACTCACCACAACTCTACTGCCACACCAGTGTTCTACTCAATGTTGTGGTGACGTAACCTGCCAGAACCTCCACTCACCCACAACTCTACTGCCACACCAGTGTTCTACTCAATGTTGTGGGGGACGTAACCTGACCAGAACTCCACTCACCCAAACTTACTGCCACACCAGTGTTCTATCAATGTTGTGGTGACGTAACCTGACAGACCCCATCACCCAAACTTTGCCACACCGTGTTCTACTCAATGTTGTGGTGACGTAACCTGCCAGAACCTCCACTCACCACAACTCTACTGCCACCCGTGTTCTACTCAATGTTGTGGTGACGTAACCTGCCAGAACCTCCACTCATCCACAACTCTACTGCCACACCAGTGTTCTACTCAATGTTGTGGTGACGTAACCTGCCAGAACCTCCATTCATCCACAACTCTACTGCCACACCAGTGTTCTACTCAATGCTGTGGTGACGTAACCTGACAGAACCTCCACTCCCACAACTTACTGCCACACAGTGTGTCTACTCAATGTTGTGGTGACGTAACCTGACAGAACCTCCACTCACCCACAATTCTACTGCCACACCAGTGCTCTACTAAAGGGAAATAAGTCACTCTGACTGACCTTTTTGGATTATCCTGGTTGGTAATTTACAAATGTTGCTATATATATAATTTGTGTAACTGTATGTATGTGTATCTGTACCTGTATAAACTTATATCCTTTTTGAATTTAAAATTTATTCAACTTGAAGCCACTGTTGCCTCAAGTAGAAGTAACCACTTACAGTATTATTAACAATATTATTAGTATGCAAATTTGTGTGTATATTATGGTGTTGGTATAAACCTTGGTAATAAATACCGACAAGTTGGTTTAGAAAGACACGTATATATAGAAAGACGCCTATATATATAATGTCTTTCTACCTCTGTATGTTAGAAGTGATCAAGGTCTCAGGACCGAAACGTTTTCTAATAAATGTTATAGTGTTTGCTTACGTGTCTTTCTAAACCATATTATGGTGTATCTCTACGTAGACTGAGCAGGGGGGCGGGGAGAGAGCCTTCCGCTTTTCTCCGTTCTCGTAATCAAGATAAAAACATGATGTGTAGCCTTTCCGGGGAGCCAAGAAACTTGAGTAACTGCTCTTGCAGCATATTCTTCCTCTCTCTCTCTCTCTCCATTATTAACTTTGTTTCCTTTCTTACATCTTCTCAAAATTACGTCAGTTGTTCCACCCATGCAAATTGCCTCATTATTTCTTTCATCAGCGGGAGTAGCCTCTCTCTCTCTCTAATAATAATATTTTTATTTTTTATTAACACATCGGCAGTTTCCCACCAAGGAAGGGTGACCCGATAAAAAAAAACTTTCATCATCATTCACTCCATCACTGTCTTGCCAGTAGCGTGCCGATACTACAGTTCAAAAACTGCAACATATCTCTATGCTTCCTTCAGAGTGTAGGCACTGTACATCCCACCTCCAGGACTCAAGTCCGGCTAACCGGTTTCCCTGAATCCCTTCATAAATGTTCGCTCACACTCCAACAACACTTTCAAGTGCAGTTGTCGTACGTGAGCAGCGCTGCCAGATTCGTTGCTCGTACATTTTTTCCCCCTCTCTTTTTTTCATAATAATTATTTCCTTTAGTTCATTCTCGCTTCGGTATTTCTGAGCGTTGCTAATTAAGCTTGCCTGTTTCCAAACAAAACTTCATTACCCAAACTGAAATTAAAATCCTAGTATACGTAAATCTCACTGCCCGGCGGCAGCAGATTAATTCTGACACACTTTAAATGCATAACAAAAAAAAATTATATGATCTTTACCAGAATTTTGAATTAGAAAAAAACGGTGTTTGTAATATGAGGTATTGAATACAAGAGATTTTTTTTTTTTTTTTTTTTTTGGGGGGGGGGGGGGTTAGAATTGGGATGGGTCCTTATTCCCGAGATTCATACGTCAGATCATTATCTAGAGGATATAATTGAAGTGTACAAAAGTCACTGACTTTTTTGGGTTATCCTGACGGGCAATTTACACTGTGATAACTGTATTCATGTGTACCTGGAAATAAATAAAAGGGATACATACATATATATATATATATATATATATATATATATATATATATATATATATATATATATATATATATATATATTAAAAATATGTAACTAGGGCAGAGCTCACAGCAATGGCTTCAAGTTGGCAAATTTAGATTTACTAGAGATATTGAAGCGAGAACTTTGAGTAGTATATAATATACAATGGTCAGGGAAAAGAGAATAATCATAGCACTTATAAACTAAATAACGTAAATCTCAATCACTCAAAATTGTTTTTTTTAGGAGTTCTTGTTAGGAATAATCTAAAACCAAAAACAACAGTGTGTAAGTATTTGTAATAAAGTTAGCAGAATTCTTGGCTTCACATCAAGAAATACAAATAACAGAAGTCTTCAGGTTATACTTCATGGTAAAGCCTCACTTAGATTATGCTGCTCAGTTCTGGTCTTCATATTACAAAATAGACATAAATATGCTGGAAAACATACAGAGAAGAATGACGAAGATGATCCTATGTATCAGAAATCTTAACTACGAGAATAGACAGAAGCCATATAATCTACACTCTCTGGAAAAGCGTAGAATTAGAGGGATACGATTAAAGTATACAGCTGGAGGACAGGAATATATCAATTATAAATAACGTACTGAAAATATCTGACCAAGACAGTGCAACAAAACTGTGGGTATATTTCTGCAGCAACAATATGGAATGGGAGTATAACGGTATATAATACAGGCAAGTTGATAAGTAAGACACATGGACAACAGTTTCCCCTACACGGACCAACAGTTTCGCCTACACAGACCAACAGTTTCGCCTACACAGACCAACAGTTTCGCCTACACAGACCAACAGTTTCGCCTACACAGACCAACAGTTTCGCCTACACAGACCAACAGTTTCGCCTACACAGGCTTCTTCAGTCGAATACAGAGGCAACAGGAACAGTAGAGAAGTCAATATAATCAGTCCATCACCCTAGAAGACGTATTCATCAATCTTCAGTTTACTGTCCCTATATTGCACTGATAAAAGCCACTGATACGTCTCCATAATAAAGATACCCACTTATTGCACAAGTCTCTCATTCTTCAATTTGTGAGTCTAGGAGGGTAGATGTGGGTAGGATGAAGAGTGTGGTGGAATGAGGGGGTAGAGAGGCTGATGACAAACACGTATACCTGGAGAGTTCAGGGGCTCAACGCCCCCACAGCCCGGTCTGTGACCAGGCCTCATGGCCTGGTCACAGGCCATGAGGCCTGGTGGATCAGGACCTGATCAACCAAACTGTTACTGCTGGCCGTACGTAATCCAACGTACGAACCACAACCCGGGTGGTCAGGTACTGACTTTCGGTGCCTGTCCAGCGCCACATATATTTACAATGAAAAATTATATATGAAGGGAAAATATAAGTATACAGCAGTGGACATCAAGACTGACACTTGAGTTGAGGGGAATGATCTATGTAAGACGATTAGCAGAGTTTAATTAATATTATACTAATGGAAGAACGGAGAACAAGGTATATATAGAGATAGATATAAGTTTTTTACCTGGAATGTGAGTCGACCCCATGCAACCACAAATAGGTAAGTACACACACACACACACACACACCACACACACACACACACACACACACACACACACACACACACACACACACACATTTACTTCTTTTACAGCCCCATTTGTAAATATATTAAACAACCAGGCTACAAGCCTGGTCCAGCAACTGGCTTCTTGAGTTTAACCCTGCCAAATGCAAAGTCATGAAGATTGGGGAAGGGCAAAGAAGACCGCAGACACAATATAGTTTAGATGGCCAAAGACTGCAAACCTCACTCAAGGAAAAAGATCTGGGGGTGAGTATAACACCGAGCATATCTCCTGAGGCGCACATCAATCAGATAACTGCTGCAGCTTACGGGCGCCTGGCAAACCTACGGATAGCGTTCCGATACCTCAGTAAGGATTCGTTCAAGACTCTGTATACCATTTACGTCAGGCCCATACTGGAGTATGCAGCACCAGTTTGGAATCCACACCTAGTCAAGCACGTCAAGAAATTAGAGAAAGTGCAAAGGTTTGCAACAAGACTAGTCCCAGAGCTAAGGGGATTGTCCTACGAAGAAAGGTTGAGGGAAATCGGCCTGACGACACTGGAGGACAGGAGGGTCAGGGGAGACATGATAACGACATATAAAATACAGCGCGGAATAGACGAGGTGGACAAAGACGGGATGTTCCAGAGATAGGACACAGACACAAGAGGTCACAATTGGAAGTTGAAGACTCAGATGAATCAAAGGGATGTTAGGAAGTATTTCTTCAGTCATAGAGTAGTCAAGCCGTGGAGTAGCCTAGAAAGTGAAGTAGTGGAGGCGGGAACCATACATAGTTTTAAGGCGAGGTATGATAAAGCTCATGGAGCAGGGAGAGAGAGGACCTAGTAGCAATCAGTGAAGAGGCGGGGCCAGGAGCTATGACTCGACCCCTGCAACCACAAATAGGTGAGTACACACACACACACACACACACACACACACACACACACACACACACACCACTGACCTTCAGTAGTCAGTGTAATGACGTAGATGAAGAGACTGACCTCCTTCAAGGTCACCACTCTGGCCATATCGCCGCTTCAGCTGGGTCACAGGTCACAGCCTCCCTTAAGTGGTCAGAGGTCAGCAGTGCTTAAGTTAGGTCAGGTCAGGCCACCAGTGCTTAAGTTAGGCCAGGTCACAGGTCAGCAGTGCTCGTTAAGACAGGTCAAAGGTCACCAGTGCTCAAGTTAGGCCAGGTCAGAGGTCACCATTGCTCCATTTAGGTCAGATCACTCTATCTCATTTAGAAGCGCTAAATTCATATGGGTCATACAGCTCCTGTGGAATAGGTAATCAAGTTTGATCCATGGGACAGGATAGCTCTAAATCCTTGCAGCAAGAGCTTCTCACTAGCCACAAATTTAAGGGTGAAAATTTTCACCCAGAACGATGATAAATAAACATACATTAATACAACGGTTCTGTGTCTTACAGCCGAAGGACCAGGGTTCGATCCCGGAGCGAGGGGAAATATGTGAGCATCTTTCCTATACACTTGTTAACCAGGTGATGAATTATCCTGGGTTACTATCCCTCCAGGGATAATCCAGTGGGCGGATTATCCTGGGTTATCCTACAGGGATAGTCCTCAATGGTTAGATCATTCCTGGTTCCTATCCCTCCAGGGATAATCCAATAGCTGGATTATCCTGGGTTACTATCCCTCCAGGGATAATCCAATAGCTGGATTATCCTGGGTTACTATCCCTCCAGGGATAATCCAGTTGTTGATTATCCTGGATTAACATCCCTCCAGGTATAATCCACAATGGCTATCCCTCCAGGGATAATCCACAATGGCTGGATTAATTATCCCACCCACAAAAATAATCGTATTATAATCCATTTGCAAAATAATTCAAATTAATACGCAATCTACACCAGCAAAAATAGTCTATGTTTCTGTATATACACGCAAGACAGGAGCGGAATTCAACCCGCATGTATACACGTATCACCGGATAAAAGAATACATCATGTATAGAAACAGATATACACAAGAAAGGAGGAAGCAAGAGCGGCAACGTCCTCCCTCTACGACGATCACCACGACACTGACCATAACACCAGCCTCTTACACCAGCCTACCATCACACATCTCAAAATAGGTCGAATTGAACTTAAAATAGGCTCCGGGTATATCCACTGGGCTCTAGGTATAACACTAGACTCCAGGTATATCCACTAGGCTCTACGTATAACACTAGACTCCAGGTATATCCACTAGGCTCTAGGTATAACACTAGACTCCAGGTATATCCACTAGGCTCTAGGTATAATACTAGGCTCCAGGTATATCCACTAGGTTCTAGGTATAACACTAGACTCCAGGAATAACCCTAGGCTCCAGGTATATCACTAGCCTCCAGAAATATCCACTAGGCTTCAGGTATATCCACTAGCCTCTAAGTATAACACTATACTCCAAGTATATCCACTAGGCTCCAGATAAAACACTGGACTCCAGGAATAACACTAAGCTCCAGGTATATCATTAGTCTCCAGATGTATCCACTAGGCTCCAGGTATATCCACTAGCCTCCAGATGTATCCACTAGGCTCCAGGTATATCCACTAGGCTCCAGGTATATCACTAGCCTCCAGAAATATCCACTAGACTCCAGGTATGTCCACTACTCTAGGTATATCCACTAGATTCTTGGTATATCCACTAACCTCTAGGTAAATCCACTAGACACTAGGTATATCCACTAGCCTCCAGGTATATCCACTAGCCACCAGGTATATCCATTAGCCACCAGATATCTCTACTAGCCTCCAGGTATATCACTAGCCTCCAGGTATGCTCACTAGCCTCCATGTATATCACTAGCCACCAGGTATATCCACTAACCTCCAGGTATATCACAAGCCTCCAGGTATACCCACTAGCCTCTATGTATATCACTAGCCTCCAGGTGTATCTACCCTGGACCATCACCAATCAAATATTGATGCAGCAATAACCCTTACGTGTTTAATGCTTCTTCGTGACTACAATCATTATACGTTAATTACGTATCTTGCTAATTGTGGCATTGTGATAGTAGATATAATGTTGGTATAATGGAGGGATATATGAGAGAGAGTATACCTACTTCAAAGATCACAAAGGTCAGAATTCATGAATTTGTAAGGAAGAAATGAGTCTTATCGCTATCTTGATAATGGAGCGGATGTGTGGTGGAAGTGGTGGCGGTAGTGATGGTAGTAGTAGTAGTAGTGGTGGTAGTGGTGGCGGTAGTGATGGTAGTAGTAGTAGTAGTGGTGGTAGTGGTGGCGGTAGTGATGGTAGTAGTAGAAGTAGTGGTGGTAGTGGTGGCGGTAGTGATGGTAGTAGTAGTAGTAGTGGTGGTAGTGGTGGCGGTAGTGATGGTAGTAGTAGTAGTAGTGGTGGTAGTGGTGGCGGTAGTGATGGTTAGTAGTAGTAGTAGTGGTGGTAGTGGTGGCGGTAGTGATGGTAGTAGTAGTAGTAGTGGTGGTAGTGGTGGCGGTAGTGATGGTAGTAGTAGAAGTAGTGGTGGTAGTGGTGGCGGTAGTGATGGTAGTAGTAGTAGTAGTGGTGGTAGTGGTGGCGGTAGTGATGGTAGTAGTAGTAGTAGTGGTGGTAGTGGTGGCGGTAGTGATGGTAGTAGTAGAAGTAGTGGTGGTAGTGGTGGCGGTAGTGATGGTAGTAGTAGTAGTAGTGGTGGTAGTGGTGGCGGTAGTGATGGTAGTAGTAGTAGTAGTGGTGGTAGTGGTGGCGGTAGTGATGGTACTAGTAGTAGTAGTGGTGGTAGTGGTGGCGGTGTGATGGTAGTAGTAGAGTAGTGGTGGTAGTGGTGGCGGTAGTGATGGTAGTAGTAGTAGTAGTGGTGGTAGTGGTGGCGGTAGTGATGGTAGTAGTAGTTTGTAGTGGTGGTAGTGGTGGCGGTAGTGATGGTAGTAGTAGTAGTAGTGGTGGTAGTGGTGGCGGTAGTGATGGTAGTAGTAGTAGTAGTGGTGGTAGTGGTGGCGGTAGTAATGGTAGTAGTAGTAGTTGTGGTGGTAGTGGTGGCGGTATTGATGGTAGTAGTAGTAGTAGTGGTGGTAGTGGTGGCGGTTAGTGATGGTAGTAGTAGTAGTAGTGGTGGTAGTGGTGGCGGTAGTGATGGTATGTAGTAGTAGTGTGGTGGTAGTGGTGGCGGTAGTGATGGTAGTAGTAGTAGTAGTGGTGGTAGTGGTGGCGGTAGTGATGGTAGTAGTAGTTGTAGTGGTGGTAGTGGTGGCGGTAGTGATGGTAGTAGTAGTAGTAGTGGTGGTAGTGGTGGCGGTAGTAATGGTAGTAGTAGTAGTAGTGGTGGTAGTGGTGGCGGTAGTGATGGTAGTAGTAGTAGTAGTGGTGGTAGTGGTGGCGGTAGTGATGGTAGTAGTAGTAGTAGTGGTGGTAGTGGTGGCGGTAGTGATGGTAGTAGTAGTAGTAGTGGTGGTAGTTGTGGCGGTAGTGATGGTAGTAGTAGTAGTAGTGGTGGTAGTGGTGGCGGTAGTGATGGTAGTAGTAGTAGTAGTGGTGGTAGTGGTGGCGGTAGTGATGGTAGTAGTAGTAGTAGTGGTGGTAGTGGTGGCGGTAGTAATGGTAGTAGTAGTAGTAGTGGTGGTTAGTGGTGGCGGTAGTGATGGTAGTAGTAGTAGTAGTGGTGGTAGTGGTGGCGGTAGTGATGGTAGTAGTAGTAGTAGTGGTGGTAGTGGTGGCGGTAGTGATGGTAGTAGTTGTAGCAGTAGTGGTGGTAGTGGTGGCGGTAGTGATGGTAGTAGTAGTAGTAGTGGTGGTAGTGGTGGCGGTAGTGATGGTAATAGTAGTAGTAGTGGTGGTAGTGGTGGCGGTAGTGATGGTAGTAGTAGTAGTAGTGGTGGTAGTGGTGGCGGTAGTGATGGTAGTAGTAGTAGTAGTGGTGGTAGTGGTGGCGGTAGTGATGGTAGTAGTAGTAGTAGCAATAGTACTGGTAGTAGTAGTAGTGGTGGTGGTAGTGGTGGTAGTAGTAGTAGTAGCAATAGTACTGGTAGTAGTAGTAGTGGTGGTGGTGGTAGTATCAGTAGCCTCGACCCCCTACAATAACAAACAGGTAAATACATACACTCATACATACAACAGTAGCCTCGACCCCCTACAATAACAAACAGGTAAATACATACAATCATACATACAACAGTAGCCTCGACCCTCTACAATAACAAACAGGTAAATACATACACTCATACATACAACAGTAGCCTCGACCCCCTACAATAACAAACAGGTAAATACATACAATCATACATACATCAGTAGCCTCGACCCCCTACAATAACAAACAGGTAAATACATACACTCATACATACAACAGTAGCCTCGACCCCCTACAATAACAAACATACAATCATACATACAACAGTAGCCTCGACCCCCTACAATAACAAACATACAATCATACATACAACAGTAGCCTCGACCCCCTACAATAACAAACATACAATCATACATACAACAGTAGCCTCGACCCCCTACAATAACAAACATACAATCATACATACAACAGTAGCCTCGACCCCCTACAATAACAAACATACAATCATTACATACAAACAGTAGCCTCGACCCCCTACAATAACAAACATACAATCATACATACAACAGTAGCCTCGACCCCCTACAATAACAAACATACACTCATACACTACAACAGTAGCCTCGACCCCCAACAATAACAAACATACAATCATACATACAACAGTAGCCTCGACCCCCTACAATAACAAACATACAATCATACATACAACAGTAGCCTCGACCCCCTACAATAACAAACATACAATCATACATACAACAGTAGCCTCGACCCCCTACAATAACAAACATACAATCATACATACAACAGTAGCCTTTACCCCCTACAATAACAAACATACAATCATACATACAACAGTAGCTCGACCCCCAACAATAACAAACATACAATCATACATACAACAGTAGCCTCGACCCCCTACAATAACAAACATACAATCATACATACAACAGTAGCCTCGACCCCCAACAATAACAAACATACAATCATACATACAACAGTAGCCTCGACCCCCTACAATAACAAACATACAATCATACACAATTTTCAGTCTTCCATTACAATATTTTTCTCCATAAAACAACAAAATTTAATAATAAACATGACGATTTTTTCCCACCAAAAATATAAATCCGATAATTTTCTATTTAGGCTTTGATAGTTTGAGGATCATACAGTTTGTATGTTGTATGAGCGTTGTATTGTGTTGTATGAGCGTTGTATTGTGTTGTATGAGTGTTGTATTGTGTTGTATGAGTGTTGTATTGTCTTGTATGAGTGTTGTATTGTGTTGTATGAGCGTTGTATTGTGTTGTATGAGTGTTATATTGTGTTGTATGAGTGTTGTATTGTGTCTTGTATGAGCGTTGTATTGTCTTGTATGACCGTTGTATTGTTTTGTATGAGCGTTGTATTGTGTTGTATGAATGTTGTATTGTGTTGTATGAGTGTTGTATTGTGTGTTGTATGAGCGTTGTAATGTGTGTTGTATGAGCGTTGTATTGTGTCTTGTATGAGCGTTGTATTGTGTGTTGTATGAGCGTTGTATTGTGTCTTGTATGAGCGTTGTATTGTGTTGTATGAGCGTTGTATTGTGTTGTATGAGCGTTGTATTGTGTGTTGTATGAGTGTTGTATTGATGCAGTTACTTACAGTAAGGGTAATGTCCTACGAAGAAAGGTTAAGGGAAATCGGCCTGATAACACTGGAAGACAGAAGGATCAGGGGTGACATGATAACGACATACAAAATACTGCGAGGAATTGACAAGGTGGACAGAGACAGGATGTTCGAGAGATGTGACACAGCAACAAGGGGACACAACTGGAAGTTGAAGACTCAGATGAGTCAATGGGATGTTAGGAAGTATTTCTTCAGTCATAGAGTTGTCAGGAAGTGGAATAGTCTGGGAAGTGACGTAGTGGAGGCAGGTTCCATACACAGCTTTAAGGTTCTAGGAGCGTGGAGAG